TTATTTTATCCCTAGCTTGTTCCCTCTTAGTTTTATTGATTCCTATTTATTTCCTATATATGCATCATGATTCCCATATGATTTTATAGTTCCTTTTTATTACTATTATTATCATCATTGTCTAGCTTGTTATATATATTATTTTAACCTGGCACGTTCACGTTAAAACGAGTTATACTCAATTGTGAAATGTGGATAAATAAATTACTACTACTACTACCTCGTAAGAATTAGAATAAAATTACATTTTGTCTGCAGGTTGATCTTTCAGCTGTTTTTCTGGCGGATAACCATATAAAAACAACAACCAGCTGCCCATATGAGCCAATTAAAAGTTCGAGGACCTGACCCGAGAAAGAGGCGGAAATAGAACATGATTACCAACCCCGGGAAAATAATGTTCAACTTTGTCACAAAGAGTGTTTTTCTTTTTTTAGGAAGAATGCGACCACCTGAAATCGACGGTTCAGGAAGTAAAAATTCCTTCTAAGGGAAAAGTAAAACTTTCACCAGACAAAAAATGGTTGAAAGGAAAGGCAGAAAAGATGACAAAGCTGCAAAATAGAAATAAATTTGTGATAACCGCGCGGCTTCCCGGAGGCTTGGGCCTTCAGGAGAATCTGCGCATGCTCTCTGGAATATAAACACAAAGGTATGAATTATAATATTCAACTAAAAAAAAAGACTGACGAAAGACAACACAAATTGGGTTTTATTTCAAGTTCCTGGAAATACAGCTTGGGAAAACTGCCTCTACGATTGATAACCAAAGCTTTCTAAACGCACTCAAGTTCAAGAAGTTGTGGAATCTGGAAAATCAAGAAAAGGGGCCTTCGTGTTCGTGATGACGCCTATGTGAATGGCGTAGTTCAGCTATTTCGATGTTCTCTGTGTTGCAAGGAATTAAGCTTGTATGGACAATGTTTTGGGCGTTATGGGGCTAAAAACATGAAATCCGAGGGGAAATTTTCTTGCATCGTGAATTATTTTTCGAAACACAGAGGGGAAGAGAGAACTGTCAGCTATCGCTGTAACGTTATTTGTCTTAGGAATCCGGGAAAACGTATTGTCGTAGGAAAGTAACGAACAAAATATGGCAGGTTTTCGGACGCAATACACTCGATTAAACTCAAATTCAGATGACCCTGAAGAGGACTTACCGCCACAAGATATCGATATCGGCACCCGAGGATTTGAGGAAGTCGAGAAAGGTGATCATGAGTGCATATTTTTCAGGGTACATGCATTTGTACGTTTAAGCCTGCTTCTGGGCGCAATGTGGTTTGTTTACATGTATGGCTGTCACGATTGTTGGTTTTTAGGCGGGAAGGACATGCTGTGCCAACCTAAGTATCTTGACAGCGTACTAAATGTTTTCCATGTGTGATATTTGGAACGGTAAAACTAACTATTTTTTGACAAAACCGAGGTATAGTTATTAATCAATAATTGAATGGGTGCAGAAATAGAAGCAGAGCTCCTAGGCAAACTGTACAACATTACCCCAGTATTGCTGTAATTATACCAATTTGTTGTAGTATTAATTGGGTCTTTGTCAATAATTGTTAGCTGCACGATGGTTATAGACTGGATTTTCAGACTGGTAAAAGTCATAACATCTTCATGTCTGTAAAATCTACAGAAAAGCAATTCTTAGTGACAAACCGTCCACCATAAAGTTACAAATAATTTACCAACATTCAAATTAATGGCATCATTGTTTCATTTATGCAGGGAGTTGGAATCACATTGAGAATCTTGATGAATTCTTCATAAGGATATCCTTTCAATTAAATGTCACAATCTTCTTATTATGTTGCTCCATATGGACCTACCTATCCTAACAAGGTGCTACTCTGTTTTCTTTTCTGCAAAACCCAAGATCTCAGAGATTTACTGACCAATTCATGAAATCAAAACTGAAAAAATAAACAGCACTGTACAGATTATGCTTACAGCTGGGCTGATGTGTCAAAAAATAGCTCAAGTTTATCAATACAATTCCAATAAGAATCTAACAGGATACTTTTATAGGCTTGAAGTTTCCTCAGTGGCTGGGATTATTCGTATATTTAGCAAAATTTGTGTGCTACAGGCTTCATACTTCATTTTCTAAACAATGTTTTACTTATCAGTGTTTAATAGGGTGTTGACCCTTCCTCATTTAGATTGCCAGCAAGAAGCTAAGTAATAGTAATGTTATTTTTGCATGGAAATGCAAGAGCTGATGGGGGGAGTTAAATTTGTTGAAGAGTAATTTATCTTCCTCTTCTCTGCTCAAGTAGAGACAATTTGCCTGTACAAGTCAAATCCTTAACAATTTATCACATATATGAATATCATAGGAACAATGGATTTGTTTGTATTCTGCTGAAGGAAGTCTTTGAACTAATGTAAGACACAAGTTTGTAATACCTTTTTCAATTTGAAAAACTTCTTCATTTGATAGTGTGGATCCAAGCCATCACACTTATAAATTTTTTTAAATTTGAGTTTACAATCTAGAAAGCCCATTTTCTAAGGGATTTCCTTCCTTTTTTTCACTTTTTATTGAACCTTAGTTTTAATATGGTATTTGTCTGATGTCTGTGGTTCTCTATGGCTTGGATGTAAAAGAGTTAATAGATAGAGTTCAAATTTTGGGTTGATTCTAATAACTTTTAAGCATTAATCATACTGATTGTGCCATGCTTTTCCTTTTTGTACCTTGCAGTCAATTTGTCTTTGTGGTCTTATTTTCCTCCTTCTTGGTACTTTGTGTGAATTATGACATCTTGTTTCATCACAAAAATCCTTCATTTTCAAATGTGGTGTATTTCCACAAAATAGAACAGTAAGTCCAGTTATTCTCTGTCCATTTTCAGGGCTCGATGCTAACTTTTCAACTTACTAGCCAAGTGGCTAGTGACAGCTCAGATGTTACAACAATTTCAGTTTGTTTACCAGCCAAACTGGCCGGTGAATATTGAAAACCACCAGCCAAAACTGAATTTCTACTAGTCTGTGGCTAGTTGGCTACCATTAGTGTCGAGCCCTGGTTCACACAAAATCTTAACTTATTAACTATTGTTTGATACTAATGGATTGATAAACCATTGGTGAATAAAAAGATAGAGACACCTGTAGTGTGAATTCATACTTATTTTTCTTGAGGTCCAGGAGGTTCTCTAACTTTTTTGATAAGCAGCTGCCAATTGTGAGTGAAGCAGCTGTTTCTGAAAAGGGGCCATAAGAAAAACTCTGCTCACAGGCTAAACAGACAGTGATAAGAGGTTTTATAGGCCACAGTAGACCACTGTTAACTGGCTTTTATTGAAACCCTCTGGAGATGTCAGAAGTAAATTCTGGTGAAGTTCACATTTTCTAAAAGTACAAGCTTTTTGCATTTATCTATTAGGGACTTTCCTTTTAGCAATTATTTTGAAAGCCATTTCAAACTGAAACCGAAATTGACTGGATCCATCCTTTATTTAACCAGTACAGTATAAAAGATTCAACAAACATTGAGTATTTACTGCTTCTTTTGATCTAATAAAACAAGATCCAAGTATAACATACATGTGTCTTCTTTTGCAGCATGGAGCCTGCGATTGTGGCTTGTCTGATCTTAGCATTTATTTTTTGGTTGATACGTGTGGCTAGAATTGTAATTCATTTCTTTAAGCTTCTGGAAATACGAGCATTTTATAAGGATGCACTCAAAGTATCAGAGGTGAGAATAATCACAACCTATTTCAAGTAAGTGGTATCAGGTTTTCAATAATGTTAGAATTAAATGAAATTACTCTTGAAATATCTCAATGTCTTTACAGAGTGAACTAACAAACCTACAGTGGCAAGATGTTCAGAAACGATTAATAGAAGTGCAAAAAGTTCATCAAATGTGTGTTCATAAGGAGGAATTATCAGAACTTGGTTTGTGTTTCCCTTTCATTATAGCATTACTAAGAGACTATATTGCTTGTATACTTTGTTTGTAGAACTTTAGTGTGGTTAGTAATTATTTTAAGCAATAGACTGCTATTTCCATGTAGGTATTGTAATTTTGCAATAAAGGGGGTAAGCATCTCAAGAAACTTTAAGTTTTTAAAGAAACTGTGGTGCTGCATCAAGATAACAAGGTAATTTGGTTTTATCAAATAAGTTGTCTCCAGGCTCTTTTGCCTCTCCCCATTCCCCCTTCCAAAAGGACAAGAATTGAAGGTCCTCTAGAAAACCGTTGACTGGGACACATTCTCCCCTGTGAGAGAAACAGTAGATCAGACAATGCTAGTAAATCATTAGAAATAGAAGCCTTTTTTTTTTTATGAAAAAGATAATATATTTGTTCTGTTTTATTAAATCTCAAATATTAGATTATTTTTGTCGTAGATAAATGGTATGCAGTCACATAGATTGTGCCTCACTCAATTGTTATTTTATTAGACATCCATCACCGCATTCTGAGATGGAAAAACTACCTGCTAGCAATGCAAAACAAGTCAGTTATTTCTTGCACATACAACTTTCCATTTGTTGGGGAAAGGTGAGTTATGTGAAGTACTTGCAAAATAATGTATTTTTAGGTTCCTCAATTTGTTCAGGCTTTACTAGGTATATTGACACAATTCTCCAGTTTTTTGTTCTTACCCTTTGTTGTGATTGGTAACCAGGGCCTTTTTGACAGAGGGTATGAAGTACAATCTAAAAATGATTTTATTCTGGGGCCCAGGAAGTCCTTTCCAAAACAACTGGAAGCTTAGAGATGAATTCAGGAACCCAGCAAACAGGTTGGTGACAAATTGAATTGATGGAACTGTTATCAACAATACTTCAATGAAGTCCCTCCAAGAAATAATTGAAAAGTCATTTTTCATTATTATCCTAACCAGAAGATTCAGCTAAATTGTTACTAAGCAAGTAAGTTCAGTTACACAAGATTAACTGATTGGTGGGGAATGGATAAAAATTTTTAGTTACAACCATAACAATACATGTACATGTCAACGAAGGGTAACAAACATACAAAAATACAGACTTGTTAGAAAGTAGATTTGCACTGAATATTAGATGATGTTTTGTTGTCTTCTTTCTTATAGGTTTTCCTTAGCAAGTCGGTAAGTAGATGAAGAAAACTGAAAACAATCAATGGAAACCTGGCCTATAATTTTGTAGAACACAATTAACGTTAATTTCAAGCAGTATGCCTAATAGTGTTCTATTTAGACTTAGTTCCATTCTTTTTTCTTCTTGTGCTGTTATGACTGAAATATTTCATCCTTTTTTGTTCTTGTGCTGTTAAGACTGAAGTTTTAGACCTACTTGTAGACAAGGAGCCTTTTCTTGTAAAAAACAACCATTCAAATGGTCCACTCCGGCTAAACCAGTTTCATTCATGAATTCGTTCAACGAACGACTGTCTAATGAAGACATGCTATTTTTATCACTCGTATTTTAGGTTGGCAAGACGTATTTTCTGGATCGGAATAGCAAACTTCATACTATCCCCTTTCATCTTTATCTGGGTGATTTTATATTCCTTCTTTACTTATGCTGAGGTAAGATATAGAAACTATTTAAAGTGTAGGTTTGTAAAATTTGAACCAACTAACTAGTGTGGAAATCTTTACTTTAGTGTTAGCGGTTTTCGGCTTGTTCTGATCGACATCGTGCTTATGTCTGAGTATACTTTTAGCTCTTTCGTACTTCTTTTTTCATAAATTGACATGATCATTTTATCATTACTGTAATGTATTCATTGTGTGTTGCCATTTTAGCACATTTGTTGACTTGAACTGTTTCTTTAATCTGAAGATGGTGAAAAGGGAACCTGATGCATTTGGGGCCCGGAAATGGTAAGAAGTCTAGAGTGTAGCTTTCATTCAAATGCATCGATTTCTTTAAGAAAGGGGAGCCTTAAAGATAAGCTGTACTGTCACGTTAGTTGTGCATGGTTATGTTGCTTTCAGTCCCAATTACACTTGCTGAATTACCGGTAAGGATATCTGAAAGCATAGCTAACTTCTCCTTTTCAAAATTTTGCTCTAAGGAGCCGAGTGGACTGGAGAGAGCTTCAGGGATCAATCAAGTCTAATTTCTCAATTGGTAAAACACGTTACGCTGTATTTCCATTTCAGGTCATCTTACGGCAGGCTGTTTTTCCGGCATTTTAATGAATTGGACCACGAATTGCAGACGAGGTAACTGTAAGGGAACGATACACCTTGGGTACGGTTTTGCACAACCGTTTGAAATAATTTTGTATCCAATTTCGCAAAGCACACTTAAAGGGGAACTGAAGTCTGAAATTGGTATATTATTTGCATTCATTTCTAGTTAGCTTTAGAGGAGTAAGATAAAGTGTCGATGTTCATTTTCGTTCACTTCTTGTTTTTTTACGAGAAAGTTCGATTTGAAGTTGCCTTCTTCCCGCTTTTGGGGCTGTAAGACCGTCGGCTCAAAAGAGGTCAGCAGCGGTCGTTTATGACGTCAGTGGTGGGGAACCAACTTAAGAAAAACAACTGTTACTATTTCATTTTCGTAGTTAATCCCCATTACAAGTCACCCAACTTCGATAACTCCTTAACCAAACTAAATTTCTGTATGAAGAGTACGGGTTTATTATCTTTCTTCCCCACCAGTGACGTAAGAGCGAGCTAAAATGACCGCTGACATCGCTTTTCTGAGCCGCCGTACTACGAGGCCAAAATACCACTTTAAACTATTTTTTCGAGGCGAAGTTGGGCCCAAAGACTGAAAAAAACCCTCGAACATTGCTATTTGAACTATAAGCTGCAATTTAAAAATGGTTCATTTTTAGGCTTCAGTTCCCCTTTAACTTATGGGTTGTCTCGCTGAGAAATTCAACTTTAGTACAGGAGAAGTTAAGGCGGGGTAGCTGGACAGAAGAGCGCGGATTACATCAACTGAACCTCTTCGTGCACTTGACTCAGATTTACTCGTCTAATTTTCTTCTTACTCTTTAGATTAAGTAAAGCTTACGAACCAGCTTCCAAGTACATGAATCTTTTCGTGTCGCCATTTCTGGCCATCATAGCCAAGTAAGTCTGTCAAAAGTTTATGCTTAATCTTCAGCAGAGACGATAGTTAAAGACCGTCTATAACAGTTTGCCTCCATTATGTTGATTTGGTAGGAACATGGCATTTTTCGCTGGCGCGCTTTTTGCCATTTTGACGATATTCACTGTTCTGGACAAGGATGTTCTTCTGGCGGAACATGTACTCACTGTTATAGCAGTACTAGGTAACCAGCTTTGAGTCAGTTTATCGATGTCGGGTCTTCAATTCAGTTGCTGTAGCAGAACGGAGTGTCTTAGCATGAATATTGACGTACTTTTATACTCTCGGCCTGGCCCTGGAAAGGCACCGTCTCAAATTTCACCACTCCATACAGAAGTTTGAGAGTTTTTACAAACATCATACTCCCTTTTAATTTTTTTCAGGATTAATAATAAGAGGCTGTTACATTTTTGTACCCGACGAGGTTGGTATATGTTTCATTCCTTGGGCTTAAACTTACACGGTGTATGCTTAACATTCTATTTTTTTTAAATTTTGTTCATGTCTGGTTTCCAAAATTTTGGACTGAGCTGGTGCTTGGTTATAAATTATAAATTAATGCAAAGTCAACGGCTGTTCAAAGATTTTATAGCCACTTCAACATTGAAGATCTGTTACTGACAATCATGTAGAGTGGCGGTTTGAATGGTACATTCTTAGACGCAATCAACCAGTCGGAAGTCAACGCGAAACCAAACACCTGCCGAGCGCGGGAAAACACGCGTAACTGGCAGGGAAAGATAAAGATTTTAACTAATTACGCCTGATTGGTTGCTTAAGGGCAGTATACTTGTTGTGCTTGGTCAGAACTCATTGTATGAGGTTTTCACCAGTAACGGCCGTTATTTATACAAACCCACTGTACGATTCACACAGCAATTTGGAAGATATGGATTTCCACATACTTTTTATATTATTGCAGAACACCGTGTGGGACCCTGAGCAACTATTAAAACAAATTGTGTCTCATACTCATTATATCCCAGACTCGTGGAGGGGCAAGGCACATACAAGCGAGGTTGTACAACGTTTTGTTTTGTTTCATAAACGATATGCACCTGATGTAAAAGAGATATATCTGCTGGCAATTGTGTAGTTCATGTCAAATTGTCTTACAGTCAATCTGTTGAACTGTATTTCAGGTTCGGCAAAAGTTTTCCCAGGTGTTTCAGTATAAAGCGGTAAGTTGATGCACTCGTCCGGAGGATACTGGCGTTTTTAACATCCTTCAGGTTACTGGTAATCCAGTGACATGTAGGCACAGAATTCTACTTGGGTAAAAAGGATAATGCCCGGCGAAGATTTTATCTTCTTTTAAAGAGAAAGAAGCTCCCATGACACAGAAGTAACTATTTCAATTGATGTCGTTGTCATTGCAGGAGTATGTACTACAAGAGCTCCTCAGTCCTATCGTTACACCGTTCCTTTTGTGTTTCCACTTACGATACAAGTCTTTGGATATAGTGGATTTCTTTAGGAATTTCACAGTTGATGTTGTTGGTGTCGGAGATGTTTGCTCGTTTGCGCAAATGGATGTCAAGAGACATGGAAACCCAGAAGTAAATATGTGTTCATAGTGTCACTGACTGGTTCACAATATTTAATTTTTTTGCGGAGAGAGTCTACTATTTCGTTGCTTGTAAACCTGAGCTCATTGTTTCTGTATAATTTCAGTGGCTTACCCAAGGATTGACTGAAGCAACTCAATATGAACAGGCTGAACATGGCAAAACGGAACTGTCCCTTGTGCAATTTTCAGTAAGTTGTCCTTGGTTTCTTCGCGGAATGTTTTGAACATCAATGTGAATTTTTACATTCATCAACAAACTCTATTCCCCTTGATGATGTTGTTTTGCAGATAAGGAATCCTACCTGGAAGCCAACAGAAAAAGGCGCTCAGTTCATTAGCACCATCCGGGAAAACGGTTCGTGTGAATAGTTTTCAATAAAATTATGATAATTTTCATCGAGAAGAATTTGCGGAATTTGTTCCAGCCGTATCCGTCAAAGAACAATATACTGGTGTGTCCCCCTAGTCTGCATACTTGGACC